GAGGACAATCGGTGAGGTTGCACTATTAATTAAAGTTAGACATTAACACCATTGGATGAAGGTTCAGAGGTTTAGAGGTTAAGCGAAACCGAATGTCAAGGGTTCGATTCCCGCGAGCTTAGATCGTGGATACGCATCGTTGATGGGATAAAACGGCTGTCCAGTGCTTCCAAGTAGTCTAAAACTGACTGTATCAAGGTTTCAATGAAAAAATAGTGTCAACAGTATCATAAATCCATTTCTATCTTTGTAGACCAGCTACATAGTATTTTGGCCTTATAACTGACATCAGTTCATAATGAAAACCCTAGACTAAAAACCTCTAATACTAACTAAGAATTATATGAAGTTTTAAAAATCTATTTCAGTCATTCATTTAAGAAATATGTTTAGTGATTGGCTGAAAATGAGTTAGGAATTCATCATGATTATCTGAAGTATTTATCAACTGATACTTTGTCAACTAATCATAATTTAAGTTAGGTTCTGTACAACAACATAAATTTTTATTGTTGTTACATTTAGTGAAACAATAGACAACCAACTGTCAAATTTAGTACACATTGAAGTTAACTCTGCCTGGAACCCTTGTGAGGTTACTGTTGATCCCAAACGAAGATAAAGGAAGAGAGTTGAGTATGAGGTTAGCATCCCAATTCAGTAGAAATCCAACTCTCTAAAAAAACGCTAACGTTGGTCGTCAGCCTATGCTCCATTAGGGGTAACAGACGTAAGTAAGTAAGCAAAGTTTCTAATAAATGGATATTTTCATAATCTCATTCTTACTTGACACAAAAAGTTTAAAGCATCTATCTTTATAAGTGATTGGTAATGATCCAAAATATAAAGTATAATACGGCTGTTTACCAATCAGGTTCAAGATAGTTGCTTTTAAATTCTTACATGAGATTTGAAACAACGACAGAAGACTTATAGATTACTTAAAAATTAATAAATTTGTATTTTGTAGATTGAATCTTCCTATTAATAGTTTGAACTGTGAACTGATGCAATATAACCGTTAAGTCATCAGGATTATTAGCAGAGATGGGTAATAACTAGCAATTGGATCCATGACACGCATTTCTTCCTCTTTGGGGCTCATCTTTGACTGCATCTTAAAGTTGTTGTTCACTTCGAGACTCGAACCTAATACTGTTCTCTTCAAACGCCATTGAGTTATTCACTTAGTTATTGAGTTCAAAGAGCTATATCAACTCTGAGACGCAGATACATTCAGTTGACAAGTCTCAAATAGGATGAAATGCGCGTCTTCGATTCTATTGATAGCTACTATCCATCTCTGCTTATCATACATAGAGATTTGTTAAATTAAAAGGAGAATTGTATGAAAAACTGATCCCAATGGACTGACAATGATCTTCACACTGTAAAGTTGGATTGATTTGAACTTTTTTCTTATCTCATAGAGTCATCCCTTGACCATAACCATATTTACCTAACCTAATCGAAACAATCAATACAATTGTATAGTAAAGGGAGAGAGGTGTTACATTATCTTTGAAATTAATGACAGAACACAGCGGCATACTACTTTTTTTTCAAAACAGTAGTAGAAACAATATTTAAGTACACCGATAAAAAAGGACACACACATGTATAAAGTAAAACAAAAAAAATCAAATCTTACTCTAGCCCATGCAACTGTTCTTAATGATATAGTTGCTATGTAAAGTGCATTCATAACAAAATCTACAAGATTCCACATATCAGTTAAATGTGCACGTAAACCCCATATATAAAGTTTTTTCATTTGTTGCCATACAAAACCTGTAAATGCAAAAAAAATACAGCAGTAAAAAAGTCAGTATTGTACTTCAGTAATGTTGTGGTGCTGTGGTGTGAGCTACTTATAAGTAGTATATGACGTGAGTGTCAACGTAATGTCTGGCAGCATAATATGGGGGAAGATCAAGAAAGGAAGAGTTAGAAAACAATGGAATTTGTATGAAACGCATGAATAGTGACAATGGATTGATGTTTTGCAACAGGAACAGTCCAGTTCGATATGATGGACTGATATTTTGCAAATTAACAATTTACGATATGGTTTTCCGATTTTACTGAGTACCTCTGTAATATTCGTTAGATACAATTCGGTTGCTCCATCCGTGTTCTCCTTCACTACAATGTTTGTTTATCAAGAATACTTTAATTATTGCATATGAGTTAGTTAGTTAGCCAGTCATCTACAACGTAGCACTTCGCGCGTACGTGTTTACATTAATTCAAGTCGTTATACCTCAACATTAGCACACAGAGTGATCGTATGGTCGATTCAAATCCCATTGTCGTAGAGGTAGTTGAAGTATTAGCGGTAATCAAAAAGACTAGGGATAGAAGATATAGTGGAGAAAATTTGTAGCTCAGGTGGATGATTGTAGTGGTGTTTCGTTCTCTGAGATGGATATTTTGTTTGTGAAGCTTTCATTGTTCTTCCGATGAACAACATCGTCAGCACAAAATTCAGATCGACTTCACTTCCATCTGAAGTTTGTGCTGACGATGTTGTTCAGAAGAACACTGAAAGCTTCACAACCAAAATATCCATTTCAGAGAACGGAACACCACCACAATCGAAGATATAATTCGAGAAGTGTATCCTAGTGAAATAAATTTAAAAAAAGAAAGGTTATGAGGAATTCAGACGTATAGAATTCGAGAGAAGACAAAGAATGGATGCAACTCCACCTTGTCAAACGATATTGAGCCATATCATTCAAAACCTCCAACTATAGGTTACGGTTGTCATCCGGACATTGACCACGTAGTGGACACCTATTGAGATGAAGTTTTATTCTAATCATAAAACCAAACATTTTTTATAATGACTAAATAATCTAGTTGACTGTAAATTTAAGAGTATTGTGTTTTTGCTTCCGACCAAAGCATGAATATATTTATATGCGTTGAAAATCAGTTATATAGACTAAACGAAGAAATATTTAGTGTTGGGGGCATTAGATCCCCAGAACACTCTTGAAAAGTGCCTTGATTTTAGATTTCATATTTGCGAGCATGGGCTGATCAGTTGACCTTGAGATCGCATTTCCCATCAAGAAAATCCTTAGCTGTGATTGGTCACTGGGTTATTTTAGTGTGCTATTTTTGTGACTCTCCCAAAGACGTTTCTATGATGTATAAATAAACGCGATTTGTGTGCTTGAGTTCATTGTGCTCGCTGGGTGTTTGTAGAATATACTTTCTACACTATATGTCAAGACTTTTCGTTAGTTCTTTTAGGTCAACGGATCAGAGTAGCCTAGCTGGACGCTGTTTCATTGTCTCATTCTCGTTTATCGACTAAGGTGAACCCGTAATAGTTTCAAGCATACCTAGTGACGAGCATAACACTTACCTATAACATAAATAACTAAAGCGGATTCTGTTAATGATGGTGTTGGCCCACGATCATGCATACGTTGATCAAGTGAATTTGTCAGTAAGAATTCAACACGTGTAGCAGCTAACGTCAGTAGAGCTACAAGAATAAGAATAATTAATAATTTCAATAAGTAAATATTATTTATTAAAAAAAATAATGAATAGAATTCCATGTGAATATATTACTATTGCATAAGAAATTGTTTCAGATCAATATTGATCTCCTGGTTTTTGGAATGGTTGAGAAAATTTGTAGCTCGGGTGAATGATTATGATGGAGTTTCATTCTCTGAGCTGGGTGTTTCGGTTGTGAAGATTTCTTATGAGCAACATCATCAGCAACATAAGCTTCAGGTAGGAGTGAAGTATTTGAATTTCTCCATGTACGAGTCATACGTGAAGAAGTTCGAATACGTCAGTTCTACCTGAATTTTGTGTTGACGATGTTGTTTCGAAGACCAATGAAATCTCCATAACCAAAATACCTAGCTCAGAGGATGAAACTCCATCATAATTCTTGGATTTCATCAGGATAGGAATAACTGTTGAAGTCCTGTTTATGCTAGTGACTATACTAACGAGTTTCCTTTAAGTAATGTTCATGTTACGGAAGAACCTCAATCATTCCTAATTAGAAATTATCACAATTATTATATCTTCTAAATAGAATATTACGTAATCGATCACAAAGATGTGATCAGGTATTTGAAGATGACTGGACTAAAAGCCTATGACTTGGATTTAGCAATTCCTAAAACTGATTAACTTATATTGCTATGTAGAGATGAAAGTTTCCTATGAGACTAGAAGTTTGTTATGAGGAACGTTATAGATGGTTCGGCATTACTTTGGCAAGCTTTTTGCTAATTGACCATTTACGAATGTGCTATGCAGGGTAACTAGTTTCATTGATACTGATGGTTGTTTTGCGACAATCTGAAGGACCACTGTCATTGTGACGCTGTAATGCATATATCACCATCGCAGTCGTGAAAGCAGGATGGGTCAAGTTGACTTGTTCATGCTGTGTATATTGACTGACGTTATCATGGATCGGAAATAATCACTATATGCATTGGTGTATATAAATGGTGTGAATAGCCTACTGAGGTGTCAGCTACTTGTGTAGTTGCACCACAGGACTGAGCTGTACTGTTCAGGTCATAGTGTTAACACCTGGATCCTGTGTCTGCTTCTTCTGAAAACCAATGTCCATTGGGGTAAATTTACATATAATATGAAAGCTAATCAACAAATTCTATCTGAAACTTGAAAGAAAATCAAATTTATCTATTGATAATTGAGATTTAATTAGATCTACAAACTTGAACAATGCATGGGATATGAATAATTTATGTGAATAGTTCAGTTTTTACACTAATCAATTTTTGACTGAACAGTTTAGTATCATGTGCTCATTAGTGACTAGTTTCTTTCTTAAGGTGATTTTCAGAGATCTAGTGCGAAGTCGAGACCATTGAATTTTATTCCTAACAGGTGTAGCAGTGCACACCGAAGACAGTGAATGAGGTTGCATAAGACCGGGGATTGATCAAAGTGGCCTAGAGGTTAAGTGTTCGCGCATGAGACCGAAGGTATTGGGTTCGATTCCCGAGATCGAGGGTTATGGGTGGGCACTACCAGGTTTCCAATGGTGATCAAAAATTGATCGGTTCAATCGATTCAGTGAAACTCAACAGTCCTCAATGTATAGTTTATGTTTGACGTCTCTGACTATCGGTACTTTAACGATACCGGTTCAGGTATTACTTGAAGCTGTAGCTCTCGTTTGAAGATGAACGAGTTGATAGAAATCAATCAGCGACAGGAATCAGAGATTATGTCGTCGGTTATTGGTCGGCAATCAGATAAGTTACCGATTATAACCATGAAACTTTGAATAAGTAATGCAAAGCACTATGTTATACAGTTGCATAAATTTGCCCATCTGACTACATCATATTCTAAGCATTGAATATGTTCGTTACTATCCAAAATACTGATATAGTTTCTTTTATATGTTCAAGTGACCTTGTATAAACTAGTGAAATAAGTTCCATCCATTATATATCGGGATACTCTATAACAATCAAATGTTAAACTGTGAAATTGAGTGACAGTGATTTCAATTTACCAATAAGCATCAATTTCTTCAAGATTCCAGATTCAGCTTCTTGATGAGTAGGACAAAACTTAGGTCTAGGGTTTCTTGATAATAACTACTAATCAACTAAGTCCTAGTTATCTGAAGTAACTATTTCGTTTAACATTTATTCAACAACAGCTTTATATAATCAGTTTATTAACTATTTTCTGACTTTTAAAATTAACATTAACAAACTGAAAATGTATACCTTTGTAAATTAAACTAAAACCAGTTGTATGAGCTAATGGGTATTTAGACTTTGTGGTTTAGTGAATAACGTGCTAGAGTCTAAAGAGTATGACTAGTGGAATTGATCTTTAGTGAAAATATCAACACTAGAATTTAATTACATCCAGTTGATGAGTCCCAAACAGGATGAAACACACATCCTGGATCATTAAACTATTTATTGCTTAGAAATTCCTTTTCAAGAGTGAGTAAACTAATATCTTCCCTGATATTACTGAACGAAAATTTGTTTCATGGAAGTAATCTGACTATTATGTGAACATTCTAACAACAGCAAACTTGATATCATTTAAATTATGAATCGATCAATGCTAGACCACCATTAGAAACCTGGGAGAACTGGAAGGCCGTTTTGTCCCAGTATGAATATCATCAGCAATGGGTGTGCATGCGGAAATCGAACTTAGGACCTCCAGTCTCGTACGCAAACGTCTAACCTCTATGTTGGGGATGTTAGATCCCCAAAATTCGCTTGATAAATGACTTATTTTGGTTTTCACATTTGCCAGCATGGTCTGATCAGTTGACCCTGAGATTTCAATTCCCACCAGGAAAATCCATGGCTGTGATTGGCTGCTGTGTATTTTAGTGTGCTATTTTTGTGACTGTCTCAAGGACGTCTCTATGATGTATAAATAAACGAGAGTTGTATGCTTGATTGTACTGTGATTGCTGAATGTTTGTAGAATATACTTTATACGCTTACAAAGCCTTCTTACGTCAACTTGGGTTTCAAGGTAGACTACCTAGACGCTGGTAATTGTCTCGTTCGCGTTTATCGACTAAGGTAAACTCGTAATAGCCTCAAGCATACTAAGTGACGAACACTACACTCTAGAACATAGGAATTGGCATCCAATATGTTAACATCTAACTTCGATTAATCCACGGCCCTGAACAACCTCATCCACTGTCTTCGGTGAGCACTGCTTCACATCCAAACAGTGTTCAGTTCTGCTAGTCACATCTTCTCTCTAGAACTCAAAGAAACCTCCTCACGAAGCTCCTGAGTTCGATTCCTGCGTACATGCACACAGCTGACAAGTCCCATACCAGGAAAAAACATACATCCAGTGTGCTTCCAGCACTGAAACCGATCAACTCATGATTTCAATAAAAACTGAATAATCTTTATAACTCTATCATGAAAATTGTTTTATCAATATTCAGTTATATACATATTTTATACTTTATTCTTACCTAAAAATGATAAATATGAACTACTATGACATAAAAATTTAATAAATGGTTTTTTCATCATATTGCCTAATTTTGAATGTGGTGCAAGCATATAAAATGTAGCTAATACAGGGAATAGTGAACACAGCATTCCAATCGTAGCTAATTGTGCAAATACTGGTTTTTGACGAAATCCCGGTAATCCTTCATACCATATAGCAGCTAATAATTGTTGACAATGTGGATGTGCAACAAACTGAAATAAATTATAAAAAGTAAATAAATAATTCATTTATGATTCATTGCGGAATTAGTGAATAGTGTAAAAAATACTATTGTGGTGCGAGCT